TTCAGTGATTTGACTTACCAAGTAAGCATGCATGACATTGCTATTTTATGGCAACCAGAAGCAATGGTGGCATGCATCTTTCATAAACACTGTTTTTAAAATTAGCTTAAAAAACATTCATCAAATGGAGATATTAGCAACTAAGAAACTAAACAACTCAAATCTCGCAAATAAAGAAGCAGATTTTTTAATTCAGCATACAACATTACACATAATTACAGAAAATCTGTCAGTTCCTCTTTGGAACAGAAGCCTGACACATAAAACACCACATCCTGTATTAAAAATAAATGTGCAGTTTATTATTAATGACATGATACTACTTGTTTTCTTGAATCCTATCTGTTGCTATCTCTGAAAACTTTCCAGTCTTAGCACTAATTTCTCCATTTATAATCATTCTAACCAACATATTAACATATATATCTTATCTTAAAACCACACTAAACAAACAAACTAACACACCAACCCCCTTCAGCTACTGTCCCACTTTCTTTGTTCTCTTTCCCAGGAAAACTGCTCATACACATGTACACCTCCCCAACTTTCCAATATCATAATTTTGGTTAAGTGGGTGTTTTGGAATTAACATTATGTTGACTCCTGTAAATGCAATTCACAGCCCAGCCATGTAGTCCTATACTGTATTTACGTTCCCCTTCTACAGTCAGTGTTGTTGTTTTATTGTTTAACTATCTTTGTGCATACTTATTACCAATTTAGCCACAAATTTCACCCTAAATCTACTCTCTATATCCTCAAACACATTATATTCTAACGATCTTACCTTCTCACAACTCTGTATCTTGGAACCTTTTACTCCATTCACACTGGGACTAGGTGTTATCTACTATACCTGGAGATCAGCTGTCATTTTGGCATCACTATTCAGCATCATCCTGGTAATTCACTAGGTCTCTAGTTAAGGTACATGCCCTGTTTCTTGTAACTCAGGCCTTCACCTTTTTAGTTTACTTTTTATTCTCGTTGAGTAACTCCTTTAATAATGACCTGAAAACGGGGACATGGCAGGTAAATTTTCTGAGACCTCACAAGTCTGAAACTGTCAATAGTGTGTATGTAACCTAGAGTTCAGTTAGAACTATAATCCCAGTGATTCAGGAAGTTGAGGCAGGAGGATCCCAAGTTCAAGACCAGCCTCAGCAAATTAGGCCCTAAGCAACTTAGTGAGACCCTATCTCAAAATTAAACAAACAAAAAAAAAGGATGAGGATGTAGCTCAGTGGTAAAGCACCCCTGGGTTCAATCCCCAATACCCCCTACCCCCCAAAAAAGAGTTTAGCTGGATACTACATGCTGGGTAAGAATAATTTTTCCTTCAGCATTTTGAAAATTCCAGTATGGTGCCAAGAAACCTAAAGTCATTCTGAGTACTAATTCTTTATATGTGTCCTATTAGTTCTTTCACCCTGGAAACCACCCTGTGTTCTAAAATTTATAGTGATGTGTCCCATTTGAATTTATTTTTATATTTCAATAGGTACTTTCTAATGAAAAATTCATGATCTCTTGTTCTGAAGTTTTCTTGAATCATTCTCTATTCTTTTTCTCCTCAATTTCCTCTATCCTGTCTTTCTGGAAATCCTATTATTTGAATGTTAGAGATCCTAGTTACTCTAATTTTATTACATCTTCTCTCCCACTTTTATCTCTTTTTCCTCTTTGCTTTAACATACCAGTTTCATTCCTCAACCTTTCCACTGAGTTTTTTTTTTTAATTTCTAATTTCACTTCTCTTTGTTTCTATTTCATATTTCCTAGATGCAGAATCTACTTTGACCTTTCTGAAACTATTAAATGGTAGGCTTATGTTTCTCTTAATTTCACTTTCCTATCTGGTCTCCATTTCCCCCAACTTGGTATTCTCTCTTTTGTTTTGACCTTTGTCTCTCACTTAAGAGGTTTTTCTCAGATATCTAGTGATCTCTGGCCACAGGTTCGAATTTGGGGGAGGGAACACTAGAAAGATCACTGGAAGCTTTGTCTTAAGGATTCTTGACTGTGAACTTTACTTTGGAGATAGAAGTTGGACTATATCTCTGGGGGAACTCTCAATGTAATTACCTTCAGACCTTTTCTCTCAGGCCAGTTACAATGCACAGAAAAGCATATTCTCCACTCTTGCTTGAAGTGTATAAAAACCCGTTAGCCTGGGTTCTTAAATCCCGTTTTCAAAATCTTATTCCCATTCTCAGCTATGTTTGTTGTTTATTTTATCCTTGATAGAACATAAATATCCATAATTCTGCTAAATCACAGAAGGGGCAGTTGTCTGTTTCAGAGATAAGAGCGAGCTATGGAATACAATGTCCTCTTAAAAAGATTTGCAACGCTCAATCCTTTTTTCAGAACATTGCTTTCAATTTACAAAAATATTTTGAGGTTTTATTCTGCCAAGAAGTTTGTTTCTCAGCTTTCCCATAGCTGCTTACGACTCTTAAGTTCTGCAGGAAAATAACTACACTTCCTTTTGCTTTTCAGGTTTTGACATTTTGTTGCCATTGTTTTCTTTCCTATTCTTCTTATCCTGTGAGGCTACATTATTTGGGAAATCCTTTTACATTATTTACTTTCAATGAAGTTTCAAAAACAGGTGAAGTTTAATCATATTGTTTGCCATCTCAAAGTGGAGATTTCCCATTCTTGCTCTTCATGGACTTTCATTCCTACCCCTCTGATGAGATTACTCACTCTTCATCAGAAACATTCATAGTGCCAAATCTAATTGCTGTTTTACTGTACTCACCATTTGACCTCTTGGTAGCTGTGATTTATTAAATATTTTCTCTTTTTGGTTTCTGGGACAGAATATTTTCCTGTTTTCCCATTCATTTTAATGTCTGCTCCTTCTCCTACAATTAATATTGGCACAAGCCAGGGTTGAATACTTCTCAATCTGCCTACACTTCCTAAATAATTTAATCTAGTCATTTGACTTTGAGTACTTCTATATGCAAATGATTTCCAAATCTATGATCTCAGACCAGATTTTCAACTGCAGTCATATATACAACACTGTATTTTGACACATGTACAGAAATGTCAAAGGCATCCAAAACACTATTTAGCCAAATCAGAACATTTGATACTCAACTGTAAATTTGCTTCTCTCCCAATTTTCTTTTCCATCTTGACCTCCATTTACTTTCCCCATCACATAACTATACTGCAGCCACATGTGCACTGTTGCTTAAGCATCCTACATTCAGTCACTTTTGTTCCCACTGCCAGTAAAGCTCTTTTCTCAGATCTGCACATGCTACCTTGTTATTCCAATCTCTACTAAAATGACTCCACTCAATACATCCTTCTTAGACTACCTAAAGGGAGCAGTCATCAGTTTCTACCACATTATACATGTTAATTATCTGCACAGTACTAATCACAAAACATTTGTCTACCTCCTAGAAAGCAATCTTCATAAAAGCAGGTGTGGCTTCTGGGTGTTACCCACTGTATATTCATTATCTAAAATAATATCTGAATATAAGTAACGATAGATGTTGGCAAGTATGTGGGGTCAAAAAGTTCACTCATAGATTGCTGGCCGGACTGCAAACTGGTGCAACCACTCTGGAAAGGAGTATGGAGATTCCTCAGAAAACTTAGAATGGAACCACCATTTGACTCAGCTATCCCACTCCTCAGTATATACCCAATGGACTTAAAATCAGCATACTAGGTGTCTCAGCCACATCAATGTTTATAGCAGCTCAATTCACAATAGCTAAGCTATAGAGCCAACCTAGGTGTCCTTTAACGCATGAATGAATAAAAAAAAATGTGGTATACATACACAATGAAATATTACTCAGTCATAAAGAAGAATGAAATTGTGGCATTTGCCAGTAAATGGATGATCTGGAGACTATCATGTTAAGTGAAATTAGCCAATTCCAAAACACCAAAGGCCAAATGTTCTTTCTGATGTGCAGATGCTAACACACAATAAGGGGAGGAAGGAAAATAGAAGTTCATTGGATTAGACAAAGGGGAATAAAGGGAAGGGAGGGGGAATAAGAATAGGAAAGACAGTAGAATGAATCAGACATAATTTTCCTATGTTCATAAATGAATACATGACCAGTGTAACTCCACATCATGTACAACCATAAGAATGGGAGCCTAATTAGAGTAAATTATACCCCATGTTATGGTATGGATGTGAGGTGTCCCCCAAAAGCTCATGTGTGAGACAATGCAAGAAGGTTTAGAGGAGAAATGATTGGGCTGTGAGAGCCTTAACTTGATCAGTGAATTAATATCTGGATTAGATTAACTGGTAACTGAAGGTAGGTAGGGTATAGCTGGAGGAGTTAGGGCACTGGGGGCATGGCTTTGGGGTATATATTTGTATTAGGCAAGGGGAGATCTATCTTTGCTTCCTGAGCTGCTTCCCTCCGCCACACTCTTCTGCCATGATATTCAGCCTCACCTCAAGCCCCAAGGAATGCAGCCACCCTCCGACAGACTAAGAACTTTGAAACAATGAGCCCTCAAATTTTTCTTTCTCTACAATTGTTCTGATCAGTTTTTTTAATTACAGCAGTGAAAAGGATGACTAAAACACTCCATATACATATAATATGTCAAAATATACTCTATTGGGCTGGGGTTGTAGCTCAGTAGCAGAGCATTAAGCTAGCATGTGTGAGGCACTGGATTCAATTCTCAGCACCATATATAAATAAAATAAAGATCCACTGACAACTAAAAAATAAAAATTAAAAAAATATACTCTACTGTTATATATATCTAAAAAGAACAAATAAAAATTAAGTAATATCTGAACAGAACTACACCTAACATCCATACCATAAACTACAAATATTTTTTGATAAATTAACATAAAAAGACAAATTTTTAAACAAACCCTTTCTAAAAGTAGTGTATGAAAATATTCATGGATCCTTTTATTTATTTACTTTTTACTGGAAAAATGTCATTCAGTGATGCATTATAAGATGCACCTCCTTTACCTTTGGTACTTTGGGGATCTTTTGAACTGATTCTTCAGAAAACTATAAGTTCAAGGATTTCTTCTATATGACCATCAGCCTCAAAATTCTGTTTAAACAAGAAAAAAAAAAAAAGGTCAGGTTTATTCAAATTATATAGATTGTTTTCATGAAAAGGGTTTTAAATAGTTTTAAAACATAACAAAATTAAAACTGTTTAAAAAGTGCAAAAAATTTTTCAAGTTCTACAGATTATTTCTAAAAGGAAAAAAACCCTTAAAATCATGAATAAATAAATCATTTCAAATTCCAGAATAGAAGTTAAAAGACTAAATGTGTTAATGAATAGACACTATAAATGGATACAATTTGTGACATCCGTAAGTTAAACATAGTTTTTGTATGCAATATGTTATTAGCTTAAGATAGATCATTATGCTTTTAAAAGCCCCATGATAACCATAAAATATTGATAGTATACAAAAAAATGAGAATGAAAGTATAACAATACCAAAAAAATCAATAAAATGCAAAGGAAGACAGCACAAAGGAAAAGAGGGACAACAGAGTCCTCCCTATCAGTAATAAGCTCTTCCCTATCAGTAACCACTTTTAATCTAAGGACACACATACACAGAAAGAGAAAGGATGGAACGAGATATTCTAGTCAAATAGAAACCAAAAGAAAGCATAAGTGGCTGACTTAAGTAATACAAAGCAGACTTCAATTGAAAACTTTCACAACATACATAGTAGGACAATAAAACAGGCAAACTCCAGTACCAGCTACTTGGGAGGCTCAGGCAAGAGGATAGCAAGTTCGAGATCAGCCTGGGCAACTTAATGAGACCCTATCTCCAAAAAAAAAAAGAGCTAGTCATGTGGCTCTCTGTTAGTTTGGCTCAGTGGTAAAGTGCCCCTGGTTTCAATCCCTAGTGCCACAAATAAGCAATTTTTAATAATAAAGAAGAACTAATGCCAATGTTACTCAAATTATTCCATGAACTAGAAAGAGAGGGCACTTTCAACTTCATTTTATGAAGCCAGCATCATCCTAATAACCCAAACAAATGAGGTCATGTCAAGGAAAGCAAACTAATGAATAATATGCCTGGTGAACATAGATGCAAAAAATCCTTATTAAAATGTTAGCAAATTGTCAAAAATACATTAAGAAGGTCATACCTCATGATCATGTAGGATTTATTCTGGAGATACAAGGATGGTTCAACATACCAATCAATAAATATATTTCATCATATAAACTCATGGGGGGGGGGAATCACAGATCATCTTGACAAGATACAGAAAAGGCCTTTTAGAAAAATCAGTACCCAATCCTGATAAAAACACTGAAGAAACTAGGCATAGAAGGAACTTATCTCACATCATAAAGACTTACATATGACAAAGCCAATATCATACTAAATGGGGAAAAACAAATAATTTCCTTCAAATAAGAACATCCATTCTCACCACTCCTATTCAATATAGTTCCTAAAATTTTAGAGCAATTGAGCAAGGGACACAATAGGAAAGAAAGCCAAATTATCCCAGTTTGCAGATGGTATAATCCTATACTTAGAAGTTCCCAAAAGCTCCACCAGAAGACTTCTAGAACTGATAAACAAATTTAGCAAAAATAGCAGGATACAATATCTACATCCAGAGCCAGGCACAGTGGCACATGCCTGTAATCCCAGCGGCTTCGGAAGCTAAAACAGGAGGATCTTGAGTTCAAAGCCAGCCTCAACAATGGCAAGGCGCTAAGCAACTAACTCAGTGAGACCATGTCTCTAAATAAAATACAAAATAGGGCTGGGGATGTGGCTCAGTGCTTCAACCTGAGTTCAATCCAAAAAAAAAAAAAGACCCACATCCAAAAAATTGATAGGTTTTCTTCATACTAATAATGAATCCACACTGAAAAAGAAATCAAGAAAACAACTCCAATCATAACAGGTTCAAAAAGAATTTTTTTTACATTGTCTCTAACCAAGGAGGTGAAAGACCTCTATAATGAAAATTATAAAGCACTTAAGAAAGAAAACACTAGAAGATAAAAGGTCCACCCATGTTCTTGCATATGCAGAATTAATGTTATTGAAATGGTCATATTACCAAAGCATCTACTGATTCAATCCAATCCCTACCCACCAAAATACCAATGATATTCTTCAGAGAAAAAGAAAAAATGGTCCTAGTGATAGCCTTTTAACAAATGGTGCTAGAGAACTGGGCATCCACAAGTAGAAGAATGAAACTAGATTCGTATCTTTTACCCTGCACCAAAATCAACCCAAAGTGTATCAAAGACCTAGAAATTAAGAGCAAAAAATTGGTAACTGCTAGAAGAAAACATAGGGTCAACATTCCAACCTACAGGCATAGGCAATGACTTCCTCAATAGGACTCCTAAAGCTCAGGAGCTATATGTAGAATTAATGTAATGCATCAAACTTAAAAGCTTTTACAGAGGAAAGGGAACGAAGTACAAAGAGGGCCTACAGAAAGGGAGAAAATCTTAACTAGCTACCCTTCTCACACAGGATTAATATCCAGAATATATAAGAACTCAAAAAATGAAAACAAAAAAATAAAAAACCCAATCAATAAATGAGCAAATGAACTGAATGACACATCTCAAATGTACAATGACTGTTTGCTTTCCCACAACTAAGATCAACATGCCCTGGAGTAGGGAGGCTTCCTGATTCCTGTTGCGACGTATGAATTATTTTCCTTTCTCCTCTCTCTAATGGCCAACAAATATATGAAAAAATTTGTTCAACATCTTTAGCAATTAGGGAAAGCAAATCAAAATTACAGTGAGATTTCATCTCGCTCCAGTTAGAATGGCAAACATGAAGAATACAAATAAATACTAAATACTGAGAGGATGTGGGGATAAGAATACACCTATGTACTGTTGGTGGGACTGTAAACGGGAACAACCACTATGGAAATCAGTAAGAAGGTTTCTCAAAAGACTGGGAATGGGACCACCATATGACCCAGCTATACCACTCTTCGGTATTTATCCAAAAGAACTTAAAGCAGCATACAATAGTGATATATGTATACCCATGCTTACAGCAGCACAATTCACAATACCCAAGTGATGGAATACACCTAGGTGTTTGTCAACAGATGAATGGATAAAGACAATGTGGCATATATACAGACTGTGGAGTTTTTTTCAGCATAAAGAAGAATGCAATTAGGTCATCTACAGGAAAATAGATGGAACTGGAGATCATCATGTTAAGTGAAATTAAGCCAGACTCAGAAAACCAAGGGTTGTATATCTCCTCTCATATGTGGAAGCTAGGGAGAATAAAAGGAAGAAAAAAAAAAAACTAGGGGAACTCTCATGAAAATAGAAGGGAGATGGAACAGAGGAAGTTGACAAGGGTAAGGGAGGGTAGGAGTGAAACGGGAAGTGCTTAAGAATGAAATGATGAAATGGACCAAATTATACTGTTATAATGTGTGCACTTACACATCTATAGCAATGAATTCCACTATTATATATAATCACAATGCACCAATATAAAAGAAAAATAATAAAACGAAATCAGAATAATTTTTAAAAAGGTTAAAGATCGTGAGATGTGGAGATTATCCTGAATTATGTATCACATGAGAGTTAAAAGTTAAAAAACTTTCCTGGCTGTAGTCAGAGATACCAGATAGAGGAAGGGTCAAAAGATGTAAATGCTGGCTTTAAAGATGGAGGAAGGTAGCCACAAAGCTTAGGAAACTGAGCAGCTTACAAATAAGAAAGAGGAATGCAGGCTGAGTTGTTGCCCAGCAAAAGCCTGTTGGAATTCTGAGCTGTAGAACTGTAAATATGAATTATTGTAGGCCATTAAGTGTGTGGTAATTTGTATGGCAGAAAGAGAAAATTAAGGCCTAAAATCTGTGTCTGCTCTTAATAAATCTGCCTTTCATAGACCTCTCCCCCTTAGACATTTGCAATAATTTGCCTAAAACAAATCCTGTTTGTGCTCTATATTCTTTTTATATCAATTACCAGAAGTCTAAGACTTCCAGGTCATTCCTCCATACACTCTGTATATCCCCCACTCCACTGATGCCTGCTCCCTTCCTTCCCCATTTCCAAAATCATTTCTCTATGTCCTCTGAAACTTACAGTATTTCATCATCAAAATGTCCTGTTTCCTCAATAATGTTCCTCATTTTTATAACACCAAATGAAACCTCAGTCTCCTCTAAGGATTCTGCTCTATCTACCAAGCTTTGAAATAATGACTGTTTGCTTTTCCACAACTCAGATTCAACATGCCATGGAATAGGGAAGCTTCCTTATTCCCATTGTCATGTATGAATTATTTTCCTTTCTCCTCTCTAAAATCCCAGCTTTGAATCTACTATCCCCTTCTTCTTGTAGCTATTCACAAATTCCCAGGACAAGTCCTCTCATTCCCTAAAGAGTATTACCCTTCTCAATTTTCATCGAATATAAAATAATTCAGTTCCCTGAACTCTTGTGCAACAATTTTGTGCTCCTCCTATCTCCCACTCACTCCACTATTATTCTGGAAGTCATCATTACCAATAATGATCCACCCTGCCCACCTATATTCTCTATGTCAAGTACCTTATCCCTTTCTCTTATAAGCTAGGATAACATGTGATCCCTGATGCAAGCAGACAAAAACATACCTTTTTTAAAAAACTGGCAACATAGCTCTAATTTGTTTATGTTAAGGTGGAGGCAGCAGAGGAGAGCAGGAGAAAGAGAAAGAGGGAGAGGAGGAGAAAGAGAAGGAGGAGGAAAAGGAAGGAGAAGAAAGAGAAAGAAGAAAGAAGAAAATTGTCCCAGCTCACAAATTTTTGCCAGTCCTTCAGTTTCACATCCTGGTAAAGACCCAAAGGAGCAAGGTAAGTTACTGGAGATTGTCAGGAAAATCAAACACAGTGGCAGTCTATGATTGGTCAAGTTGTTCAACAACCTCTATCAGAAATGCTTCATTCTTGTTCAAATTTGTCTAAGCTCTGTTCTTCCTTTTTGCTAGAGTTCTTTCCACATTTTTCATGTAGACAAGACATTTTAGGAGCTATTTATGACTACGACTCAAATAT